ATTGGAGGAATCAGTTCCTACTTTGTCCCTTTATTTATCCAGCAAACATTTGTGGGGCTTGCTCTGCACCAGACTCTGAAAAGTGCTGAGAGCACAAAGAAGGATGCGACCCGGTCCTGCGTGTGAAGAGGTCAAAGTCTAGTGTGGAGATGGCATGTAAGCCCACAGTAACTGTGACACGTGATAAGCTCCACTTGCACGATCCCCGGAGCTGTGTGCATATACTTGTGATTCTTCTAGCTCTTTAAGGGCAGAGGCTGTCTTATTCAATTTTCTATTCCTAGCATCCAGCCCATAGAAGGAGCTTCATAAACATGTCTGATAAATTTGTTGTTAAATCCAGTTAACCTGAAGGCTGAGGCACCTAGAGAGACTAACTAGCTAAATACAATACTACCAGATGCTGGCTCTTTCCTGCCTTGCTAACAGTGATAAAGGATGTATTTTTCGAATGTGGTAGCAGGTGTGCTGACTGCCCACGTGACCTTCTCTCTCCTCCGCAGATGCAACACAGTTCTCTCTAGGGACCTCCATTCCTGGGAGGCAGCTTCAGGCCTCACTGAGCTCCCAGGGCTCCTTCCCTGCTTCCCACTTCTGAGACTCCTTGTGCATCCTTCCTAGGGAACTGCTGTAGCTGACAGAGCGTTTAGGATGCTGACTAGAAAGAAAATCCAAGAGGAAGCACAGAGTAAGCTCCTTTCCCTTTTTGTTCAGGGGGGATTTTTTTTTTAAAGCCTAGAATGGGAATATTTGGTTATTTGTCCTAAAATTACAATATTTTGAGCAGAGGTGAATTTTCAGTGATTTTTCAATAAAATGTAAGATATAGAGGCAAAAGCTACCCCCTACAAATCCTCACTAGATCTAACAGTTCCACTTGAGCCTGAGCAATGTCAGCCTTTGTACGTTAACAGGTTCCCAGCTCAGTGAAGCTATGCAATAAACGTGCGTGTGGCATTAGTTGTCTTTTCTCTCGTAGAAGAGACTGTATTTTAGGGCATTTTAGCACAAACATTAGTTGAATTGTGTATTGTCAGGGATTATGTAGTATATGTAAAAACTAGTTCATGCCATGTAAAATATAAAACATGTGTAGTATTACTCGGTGGCAAGGACTGGTGGGTGCTACCTGCATTGTTCTAAATATGTCCCACTGACTGATGTTGAGACCAAGACAAACACAGAGGACATCTCTGCATAGCCCCTGGCAGAAATCTGTATGCCACAGACAGAACTGTTTCCATCAACCAGGAACATGTAAATACTAAATATTAGGAGGTGATATGGCACTTTATATGCAACAACAGAGAGAAAGAAGTGCTGCCCATATTAGGTGATTAACAATCAGCCAGCTAGCCATTAATTCCACAAATATTTACTGAATACTCAAAGGTACCAGATATTGTTCTAGATATTGGGGTACAGTGGTGAATAAGAGACAAGGCCCCCTTTCTTAGGGAAATTACCTTTTAAAGTAAAAAGACGGACAACAAACAGACAAATAAAAACAAACAGGAAAAGACCCAGCGATAAATATAAGGATGAAAGAACTCTAGGTGCTCTGACGGCAACCGGGTGGCCAGGTTCGGCTTTTCCGGAGCAGTGGCACTCAAGCTAAAATTTGGATGACAAGAAGGAACCTGCCATGTGAAGATCTGGGGGAAGCATGTCCCTGCAGAAGACAGAGCAGGGACAGTGGGCAAGGAGGTCGTCCTGGGAGAGGACGAGAGAGAATCGCAATGCCGCTGGGGCTCATGAGGGGGCTGAGGAGCAGAAGGAGTTGGAAACGGGACCAGGCATCAGGTCAAGAGGCAGGATGGTGACCAAAAAATAAAATAGGACTTAAAAATGGAATAAAATGTGAGATAGAAGGAATACCGGAATCAGATGATATAAAAATACAAGCAAGAGGCTTTGGGAAAAACTCTCCATGCTCCAGGCATGATTTTCATCTGAGTCTTACTAGTGTTTAGAACCATCTCTAATGAGGCCAATCTGCAGCACCATTCTTTACTTGTTTTGAAGTGAAGAATGAGGCACTTTGAGTTCTTTTAAGAATTTTATATCCCACTACAGCGTCTATAACTTACCACTTTCTCCTTGATTACCAACATAACACATGTTTATGATGGAACATTTGGAAAATACAGATAAGCTAATGGAAGAAATAAGACCACTCCAAAGCCAGCCAGCTGATATAAGTACTGTCAACATTTGGGCATAGATTTTCTTTATGTTTAATGTAGTGCAGTGATTCAGAAGTAAATGGGCTCTGGAGTCTGGCTGAATATCATGGCTTTGAAACTTGCTAAATGAGTGCTACTCATTTTTCAATCAATCTTAATTGCTTATAAAATGCCACATAACTGAAATCTCTTTAAGCCTCAGTCTTCTTATCTGCAAAATGGGAATAGTAATGTTACCTTCTTCATAGGACTACTATGAAGATTAAATAAGATCATCCATATAATGCTCCTGATTGGTACGCTGTATGTATTTTTAACATGTTAGGTACTATGCCATTATCATTTTACAAAGTTGGGACCATACTGTGAGACTGTCAGTAAATATATTCTTATTCCAATCATCCCTAGACATTTTTACATGATCTTAAATATTTTTCTATAATGTAGTTTTTAATGGTTATACAGCATTTTCTTAGATATAATTCAGCTAATTCTCTGTTATGGGACAGTGGGGCTGTTTCCAAATTTTCACTATTTAAAAAAATACTATAAACTTTCCTGATTATTTCTCTAGGATAAATTGTAAGGAGTGGCTTATAAAGGTGTACTTGGGTGCATTTCATCCTATCTTCCACTGGGAATTAGATTATACCTTTGGATAAGAATAATGTTGGGAAGTAAATAGTCCACAAACATGTGCAGTTTTGTAGGTCTGATTTCCCATCAGCTTAGAAATACTCGCCTTTACCCCCTGCCTTTTTTCTCTGCATCTGTTCCTACCTTCTGGTCAGGAATATCCTCCCTCATTCCCTAAGGAAGCTTCTCAGTTCTAGGCTTGCCGATGAGCCGTTTTGCTTACAATTTTCTGATCTGTTGAGAATTCTGTACTTCCTATTCATTTCACTTGAAGCCATAAACTCAAAGGGTTTTAGTATATTAGAAATGCAAGCCCCTCATCTTACAGATGAGGAAACTAAAGTAGATGGAGCAAGTGATTTGTCCAAGCTGGTCCTCGGGTCCATGCTATTAGACAGCTAGGCAGGGTTGGCTCATTTCGTTGTCTCTGGTACCTGGTGCGGCAGTCAGCATGTGCAGACGGCCAGTATTGTTTGTTGAATGAATGACTACTTGAAGTAACTTATAGCCTCCAAGGATTCTAATTCTGCCTTGTTCCAGAGGGAGCAAAGCCAAGACTAAGGAAAACTGGAAGTTGCTGGTAGGCCAATGTTAGCATAATATAGGGAAGAGCTTTTTAATAGTTAGGACTGTCCAAAAGAGAAGCAGGTTTTTCTTGAAAAGAAGTTGCCACTAATTTGAGGTATTCAAGTAGAAACAGGGTATGTTTGAATAAATAATTTATCAAGTACGTTTGAAAAGAAAACACATTTTATTTTATATGCCTGGTTGGGATAGATGACTTCTAAGGCCTCCACCAAAACTAAGATTAAATGATTTTATGAATATATGTATACACACACACAGATAAATGAATAATTTTTTTCCTTGTTGATACGTTACTTTGTAATTAAGTCGTCTGAGACTGAACCCATTGTGTTTCTGGAACCAGATAAATTCTAATGTCTTTACTGATTCAAGATTCTAGGATTCTAAATCATCTTCTATTTAGTGATAATTCAGTGTGCCACACATAGTAGGAGTTCAAAAGATGAATTTAAGTTAGCTCTGAAGTCTGGAAAAATCTACATTTAAGATAAATTCGGTTACAGGTTCCGTGTTGTTGAACAAGTTGATTGAACTCAGCTGGTCTCAATCAAATATATCAGTTGATTACATTCAAGAACACTAATGCATTAATTTTTTTTAAACTAAAAAAGGATAAAATTAAAAGAAGAAATTTGGGTGGATTGTATTGTGATGAGATAAAGCTGTTTTCTTACTGGATTGCTGAATGATGATATGAAATTATGGCTAGAATAATTTCTAGAATATAAAGAACCCTTTTAATATGAAACTGCAAATGTGACTTAATTGCACTTCAAGTAGGGAGCTACTGAAAGACTGCTCACAGTATAATAATTTTATCCAAATCCTAGTGGCAAGACAGCCACATAAATGAACCGTATCACAGGAATACTTTCAATCTTCGAGATTTCATATTAGTGATAGAACTGGAGGTCCTAACAAGCTCATACTTGGGTTTGGTGAAAAGTAGCAATCTAGCAAAGCTTTGAGGAGTACGATAGATGGCATCTGTGATGTACTCTTTGTGATTCCAACCACGAATGGATCTTTTTAGAAGGCTAAATAAGGAAATTAATGTTCAGATTAAGTATTTAATTTGATTTATCAACATTGTCATTGTTTTGGACACTGTTAACAGTAAAAAAATTATGGCTCAAGTTAGGATGGGCTAGAATATATCAGCCATGCTTTTTATCCCACTCAGGAAAATGCGTATTTCAGGAGCAGCATGACCTTCTGTGTTTCAGGCGTTATGCTGGATGCTAGAGAGAGAAAAATGTCAGGCATGAACGTTGGCCTCACAGAGGCATAGCAAATGCATAGCATGGGTTCATCATGGAACCTGGAGGAGGCTCAGATCTTTCTGAGCCAGGATTCCAGACAAATTGCAAATCCATCACAGAACTGGCAGAGGATTTAACATCTATTAATCACCCCTGGCAGCAAGTCAAAAATTCTCTGGTAACAAATCTCATTCTAACAATCATTATCATGGTTATTTCATGTCTATAAATTAAGACTCATTTCATATGTTATCCTGTGGAAGTTTCTGTTTTTGAATTCCACTTCCAGAAACATGAAACAGGAAAATAATTTAAAAAGAAAAGTTACCTCCACTGCTGCTTTTGCCCTTTCAAATTCTTCTTCTAAGGAGTGGTTTCTGGAAAGTAATGCACTTCCCCAGCGCTGTTCTTTGGTCAGTCGAGCCTGAAATAAACCAAACACATGCTGTTACACTACCAGAATCACAGAACACAAAAATCCAAATATTTTTCCCTTTCTCATATTTCCCTAGAGTTCAAGAAGCATCTGCAAAGGATGTTATTTTTGGAGTACTTTGCAAACATGATGTTGTCCAAACTGGGATGGTGCCAAAATGTGTGTGAGCATGCATGCATGATTCTTCTAAGAGTGTGTCTCAGCCCCAGTTATGTTCAAACCAAAACCCAGGCCCAGGGACGCCTGGGTGGCTCAGTCGGTTAAGCGTCTGCCTTCGGCTCAGGTCATGATCCCAGGGTCCTGGGATTGAGTCCCATATCAGGCTCCTTGCTTGGCAGAGAGCCTGCTTCTCCCTCTACCTGCTCTGCCTGCCGCTCCCCCTTGTGCGCTCTCTCTCTGACAAAAAAATAAATAAAATCTTTAAAAAAAACAACAAAAAACCCAGGCCCAGCCTCCCAAAGAGCTTACTTTAGTTGCTCATGGTTCCAGGCATTGATTTTTTAGTAAGTTCTCCCCAGAGGATTCTAATATGCAGCTAAGATGGAGAATCTCCATTCGAAGCCTCGACCTAGGAACTGATATTCAAGCTTCCACCTTGTTAGGAGGACTAAGCTCAGGTCAAACTGCAAGCTGCAGAGTTGGGAGGCGGCTGCTAGGCCCTTTCCTTATATACACAGCAGATCCTCATGCTGAATTCTCTTTCCTTTGCCTTCCCTCCATTACCACACATCTGTCTCATGCCCGTTTCCTCAGGACATTGTGCTGCTAAATAGTAGTCACTTAGATAAACTCATGTTTGATAATGCTGACTGGTTTGTCACAATCAACAGGCAACCTGATATACATTTTAACTTAAGCTAAAGGCAAATATTCCAGAAGACCAGTCCCACCAAGAGTCTGCTGGAATTAAAAAAAAAAAGTTATTCATTTTTAATTTCACAAACACTAAATGCATTCTTTTTGAAAAAAAGTAATCATGGAAAATAAGGGGTAAACCTCTAGAACTTCTCCTTTTCAGTTGTGTATATATTTATGTACCCTAGATAATAGTGTGTTTCAAAAATTTTCGACACATAAATGGTATGCTATTCTGTAGCTTACTTTTATCCATTCAACAATATATCTTGGAGAGGTTCCACAGTTTTTATAGATCTTCCTCATCCTTTCCCAGGGACTTCCTAGTAAGTATATACTGTAGTTGGTTCAGACCTCTCTCCGTGAGCAGTCGTGGTGTTTGTGATTTTTCTCCATATAATTGCTTCTTTTCTTGTCTATCTTTTTGCTACACTGTGTGATCCATAAGGGTTGGATTTTGTCTGGTAACTTTTGTTCTCCCCTATACCTCGCCCAGGGCCTGACAGGTGATGTGTGCCCTAAGGATGTCTCTAGACTGCAGGATGAGGAATTGCACTGATAAGTCAGCCAGACCTTGGGGAGCAGGATGAGGGAGGCTTGTGGAGTGAAGCCCCCCTCTGCCCTTTTATCGCCTTTTATCCATGTGTTAGATTGCTCTCCTTTAGGGATGCTCAACCTCGGCTTCTGTGGGAATTACTTGAGCAGGCCTGGGCCCCACTCTAGACCAGTTGAAGAATTTCTGGGGGTAGGGCCTGGGCATTAAATGTTTGCAAAGCTCTTTGGGGGGCATCTGGGTGGCTCAGGTGGTTAAGCGTCTGCCTTCAGCTCAGGTCATGATCTCCAGGTCCTGGGATCGAGTCCGGAGTTGGACTCCCAGCTCTGCAGGGAGTCTGCTTCTCCCTCTGCCTGCCACTCCCCCTGCTTGTGCTCTCTCTCTCTCTCTCTCTCCCTCAAATGAATAAATAAAATTAAAAAAAAAAGAAAAGAAAAGCTCATTTGGTGATTTTGAAAAGCAGCCATATTTGAAAACCACTGTTCTATAGCAAAACTTTGGCCTTCACTCAGGACTTACCATCTATACAGCTCAGCTGCTTTTCATTTTTTTCTCCATCATTACTGGTCCTCAAGTGGACCCCCAGCCCCTTATATACCAGGGCTCACTACATGCCAGATGCTGTTTCAAGTCCTTTAGGGACTATAACTCACTTTGTCTTTTCAACAACCTGTGAAGTAGGTTATTACCATCAAGTCCATGACATTGAGGCACAGACAGCTAATTAACTTTCTGAACACCACACAGCTAGTCAGTGGTAGGGCTGATGCTTCTGGGCCGTGTTCATAACCACTGCACTATACTGCCTCTCATAGGACGCTATGCTCCACTGGCCATTTCAGGAAGATGCAAAATCTAGAAAAGCTCTCTCTCAGAGGTTCATGCATGGTTGAGGGTGTCAACCAAGAAGCCCTCAAGAATATTGTGGGCTGAAAACAATAATGAAGTAATTGTTATGAACCCTTCTGAACACAAATAACAGACTGTGTTTTGCATTAATGAACAAAGAAGGTTAATTTATTGAAAGATTAATTTATGTTTCCTCCCCCTTGATGTATTCACTGCTGTATCCCTGGTATGTCCTATAAATAGTAGCTGCTACATAAACAGTAAATATTTGTTGAAAATATGCTGTTGGGGAATATATGAATTGATGAATTAAAGGTATTCCTCTTCCCTACTCCCAGAAGGTAGCTATGTGTTCTCAGTCAAGGTTTCTTGGTTAGCCCAGGAGGCTAAGGAGAGTTTATAGGAAATTGAGAGGGGACTTGTTTTTTTGTCCTGTGCCTGGAGCAGCAGAGGTCTATGTTAGCAAAGCCCTACTGTCCTGGTTCTGGGGATGGGGACTGGCTGCATTCCCCATGCAGCCATTAAGGGGTGCATATGGGGAATGCAGCCATGCATTAATGGGGTGCCTAGTAAGGAGCTAGGCCTGTTAGCAGCCCAGGCGTAAGGCCTCTGGAGTTGTGTCTGCAGTCAGAAGAGGAAGAGGGTGATGAGGAAGTGTCCAGGTCTGCATAGGCATCAGTGCCTCATTCTCAATGGCTACCATGAACAGACACCATCTCTTATTCTCTGGGCCCCGTGAAAGCTACTATTTTCTCCCAACCCAGATAACTGAGGTGGGGCTGCGGAGAGGGAGCTCCAAAAACATAAGTGAGATTGACTATCACAGGTTCCTGAGATTAGGGTATGGACATAACTTTTCGGGAGGCCACTATTCATCTCGCTACAACCCTTATCTGACACTCTTGGGTCACAATATATTTGATTAACAAATATAAAGGTGAAGATGGGGGGCCTGGGTAGCTCAGGTCATGATCTCAGGGTCCTGGGACCGAATCCCATGTCGGGCTCCCTGCTCAGCAGGGAGTCTGCTTCTCCCTCTGCCTCTGCCCCTCCTCCCTGCTCATGCTCTCTCTCTCTCAAATAAATAAATAAAATCTCTAAAAAAGAAAAGGGGCAGATGGTTTACAACCTTTCAAAATTGATAAGTTGTTAGGATGTTATAGCCTGGTAGAGATGTTAACCCCAAAGGCATTATGATCTTATTGTCTTGTAGAAATTAACCAATCCTGTATCAAACTTGGCAAACTTATTTTGGCATTTCTTTCCCAGCCAGCTCCATAAATCTCTGTTTCTTTACTTTGGAACTAGCTCTTTTGTCTTCCTGCTGGTTCCCTCATTAATGAAATAAACAAACAAATCAATTTTAAAAAATGTGGACAGATGCTAAGAAATAAACTGTGCATTTATATAATAATGTCATAAATGACCCATGAATGGCATGGGAAGAAAGAGAAAGCACTAATATTTTTGTCCCAAGTCACCTCCTTTTATTAGAGGCACTTTTCACCAGTGAAATACGACCTGTCTCTCCTGTGAAGCCTGACCTAACAGAACTCCATTACTGTCACTGGCTTCCCTTCATCAATGTTTCACAACCCAAGTGGGTTATGAATCACAGGATGCAAAGGGCACCATATATCAGGAAGAAGAGGCAAAAATCTCTCTCAGGATTCGACACTTAACAGTCATATTCTCTTTGCCACTTAAAACACCAAGTGTAAATAGAATCTTACTGTGCAAATGAACTTTTATTTTGGTAGAACAATTACTATTTAGGTAAGTGCTATTTCCCACATTGTTAGAAAGGCCTTAAGTTATTACTAAGACAAATGTTGTCTACCTCACATTTGAAAGCCATTTATTTTGTCCAAGGAAGCTAAGATAAATGTTATAAAATATAGGAACACACTGAATGTAAACAAAGGCAGTTTCCAAGCCAAGAGTAACAGGCCACTGAAAAGATTCTGAAACTTTTCAGCAACTTAGTAGCACACCCAGATATACTGGTTTAGGATTGAGGATGAAGTACAGATTGTAACACATAGTAAAAACAAACTTCCTTTCAGCCAAGACTTTTTTTTTTTTTTAACATCTAATTTCATTATAAGCGAAGAGTGGAATACGGGAGACCATATATAAGCAATGCTGGTGAACTGTATATATTGCTTAGTACTTAACAGGAGGAGTGGTAAGCAAGACAATTAGAGCCATACATTTGAGTCGTGGCTGTTACGGTATCACAGTGGCTGTATTAGTCTAGTAGTTCTCAAGCGTTAAATGGGCATCAGAAGCATTTGGAAATCTCGTCCAAACAGATTGCTGCACGCCACACCTGGGGTTTCTGCTTCAGTAGGTGCAGGTGTGGGAGTGGGGGCCCAGAATCTGTATTTCTAACGAGTTCCCAGGTGATGCTGATACTGCCAAGGGAGGGACCTCACTCTGAGAGCTTCTGATTAGATGTTGACATCATGTGTTTGCAAGTGGAACTCTGGAGTTCACAAATGCCTACTCTGATGTAGGCATTTCTTTGCTTCATTGCATGATTTTGAAAAATGCTCTACGGTTACAGCAACCTCCTGGAAGGGCCTTGGCTTTAAAAATAGCCATTTTAATTGGTTTAAGCTAATTGGATTTTAGGGTATTACATTCTCTGAAGAAGAAAGCATTTTGTTCTCTCAGTTGTTGATTGTTCTGAATGATAAGCACTAGGCGAAAGATAAGAAGAATAACT